AGTTTTATCTTATATAATTGAATAAAAGAAGCCACGTCTTACACTTAATAGTAACCATCGCCTGTATATAAACTTAATACCATACATGCGTTGCCAATTTCAGAGGACTAAGATGTCTTGCCTCCTTTATCCTGTGACTTTGAAATACCAATAACAAACCAATGTATTCAGAAATTCGTCGACAGACAATATACTTGCCCATCAAAAATGTGTACATGTTTAATGTTTATTCACCAAGACATCGACCGTTCATTAACGTGACTACCCCGTCTGATCATGAAGATACGCTTCAAAATTTCATCATGTTTTTACGAAAATTTCGACCACATTAGCAACAAAACAGAGAATATTATCAGCAACAAATTCATATGTCGTTCAATATTTTAACTGATTCCGAACAATGTTTTTCCTTTAATTCCTAGATGTCGAAAAAAAGTGTTCAGCACTCTAAATAAGAGTTTTCTTTGTATTTATTACAACACCAGTATTTATTTTTCCGTCTAAGAGGTAGACACCCAATTATCGGGAGCGGTTAATGCAAAAAGGGTGCTTTACGCAGGTATTGTGGTACATATGTAGCTATATAATATTATACCTATTATGTCCCATACAACTTTGCCTTGTTAGTGGTAATAAAATAGGTTATTAATTTTATACTTTTGATGACCACGATTATAGATACATAAATAATGCATGTATGTATACAGATATAAGTAATATCGTGTATAGCACACTGCCTTATGTCATGTGTTCGATTCCTCATACGAGAGACATTTATATTCATGAGTATGATTGTTTGTTTGAATGTTTGTCATATAACATAATAAGTATTTTGATTATTTCTTTAGTACAAGCTCACCTTAGTTTGGTCACTGAGTGAACTGTCCAGGATTGTTATATTAAGTCTTAACAGTACGTACCTAATAAATTTTATAGCTAATATCTGGTAGAGAAGTTGTTCGCAAATGTAGAGAATCTCTACATTTGCGAACTTTTATTATCAAAACACTAATAGTGATTTCACGATTTTCACTTGTTGTGTCTATCATATATCGTATGTTTACATATATTGATGTTTATATTAGGTATTAATACCTAATATAAACATCATTAATATTATGGAATACGTTAAACAAAAGTGAATGAACTTTGTAATAAAAAACTTCTAAATCTCTCTGACCTTTTCTACAGCTACGAATATGTATAACTCCTACAGAGGACAAAGGCTTAAAAGTTATAAAACACTAACTCCTGTTTCTATCCGAGTAAAAATCCGCTTATGCCTATGTGAATGAATCTAAATACCTATACCTATACCTTAAAAACTTTCAATTGCGTTTATAACCGGATGATAATTTAAATCTTATACCTAAATACGGAAAATATGTGGACATTTTATCGTATTTATAAGGTGTAATTTTTTATCTTCAATTGTATCTTTACAGATTTTCTTATTCAGAATATATTTTTGTTGTAATTTGTTAGTAAATATTTATTACAATATATATATATGTTTAATTATATATACACTATCAAATAGAGAGAGAAAGCAATAGTATATTTTGTATTTTGCTCAATATAAAGTAGCGTACCTAAATGTTGTCTGCAACTAGAATTAAAATTAAAACGGACCAACTTAAACTTACATTTAATTTTATATTGGCTTAATGAAAGTGAACCACAGCTTTACGATAATGGAGTTAGTCTCATTGAGGGTAAAATACTACCTAAATACTATCTTGTTACTCCACTCAGGTTACTCATTATACTTAGGCTCCTCTCCAGCTATTATGACTAAATGTATTTGGTAAATACAAATTAATGGATAATCAACCTTCTAATACGGTTCAGAAAACACTGGAACTTTTTGCCAAAAGCCAATGGCGGTAACAAAAGGCCGGTACATTTGTCGCGATCGCAAACAATAGAAATTCCTTTAATTTCCTGGAGGGTGTTTTGTATTAATTAAACTAATATTATTCTATCCAGCCCGTCTATCATTTATATTTTATAATGCCAGTTCGTTTTAGTAATTAAATTTACTTATTTCGAAGATATTCTAAACAAATGTGCCTTTTGATAAACCTACTACTGTTGATGAATGGTTAATTACTAATAGTTAATACAAAAACCGTTCGTAATATTTATGTGAGACTAGCTGTTCCCGCGACTTCGTCCGCGTGGTTTTTAACTTTATTTTTCTAAAATAAAAGTAGCCTAAGTTACTCCTTATTACATCAGCTACCTGGCAAAAATTTCCCGTCAAAATCGGTCCAGCCATTTCAGGGATTAGCCGGAACAATCAGACAGACAGACAGACAGACAAAAAATATAAAAAATGATATTTTGCTATATGTACCGTATATATTCATATGCATGTAGTAAAAAACGATTATTTCAATATTACAAACAGACACTCCAATTTTATTTATATGTGTAGATGTATAGATGATAATTGCAAACAATTACTATGATTCTTTCGTAATCAACAGAGCTTACTTCGTTTTGACCACAATGATTAACTAAAACTATATTATAAAAGATGTAGATAGATATTTCGGTATATACATTAAATAGGTATACCTACAGTCGAAGTAAGGTACTTCTCCTATTTTGAAATTGGTTAATTTATGTAGACTGCCATTTTATCTTTTGTCTCCTTTTACAGTTTTTATTGTAATCAAACGAGCTTAATTATTGGCGACATGGATTTTTACTTTCTTTTTTTGGTGCTTGAATACATATTGATTTGGCACTGATACAATTAGCTACTAAAACAGGTAGGTGTACCTAATAATATATTCACAAAAGTAAATAACAAATTAGGTTGTTTACTAACCAGTAATAACGATATATAATGTGGGTAATTTTGCAATTTTCTCAACGTATAAATCAAATTTTATGATAAGGACATACAAAGTTTTATGAATACCTTCTTAATGATAATTACACTTACCTGAGTATGTATAAGTAATGACGGAAATAATCAAAAAAACATCTCGTATTTTCATGTTTCCGGTATTCCAAATAATTATAAATCAAAGCAATTATGGTTATAATTGCAAAAATCAATATCACCTATCACTTTCACTCCGTGAAAAACAAAAAACATATTGTATATGTACATAAGCCTATCAATAAATTATGATTTTTTATTTTTTCACGGAGCGGAGGTGTATTGTAGCCGATATGGGCATCTCTGTCTCACCTATTTCAATCACTAAGCCGCTTGCTTTGTTCTGGTTAAGGGTGAGATATTACAGGAAATTGCAAGGTTTGGAATCCTAACACCTTTTCTCTTCGAATGTAACGCATTGGGACGTGACTATGACGTGTTGTTGTAGGTAGTATGTAGGCAACGGTTACCAGTTACCACTTACCATCAGGTGTCAGCTTTTCTGCCATTTAAGTTACTATAAAAAAACAATTATGCAAAATATGAGGACCCAAGGATAAATGCTATATTGCAAATGATCAATGAGACTTGCTACACTACCGTAATAGTAAACACCTAAGTTACCGTTAGCCTGTCTACTTAAGTAATCATCGTTCCAAATTTGAAAAAAAATTATCTACTAACAGTCAATATTTCATCCGCTCAATATACAGACTATAATATATTATAGACTATAGAATAGATTGTTACTATATACTATATAGTTTTAATAGAATAGACAGTTTATGATCTCGTTAATTGATGAATTTAAATTTCTGTCGGTATATAAACATTTTATAATAGAATCAGCTGTAGATATATCTGATAGGTATCTCCAAAATAAGTGGATTTATAACATTGTAATACAAACTTTTAATGAACACTGGCGATTGGGTAGGCTTGCTTTTAGAAGTCCAAGATTAGACTCCGTAAAAATAAACTAGCAAAAGGTAGATTCCATAAGCTAATACAATAATAATACGCTGCTTCAATTACAGTTTTTTGAAATTCAGCACGTACCGGTTACATTGTAAGCTAGTAAGCTAAAAAAAGGTATTTATTGTTTATGCGGGTATTTCTGCAATTTTTCAAATTACTATCTTATTCTGGCAACATTGCGTACTGCTTAGGGATGTGACATTTTATAGGAAAAAAGCAGATGAATAATCGATTTAAATATATTTTTGCACAAATCAATCAATTAAAAACAAGTAATTTTCTTTAAAATTAGTATGTTTGTTATTTGTTCATCGATCCAAGTGATCTAAAACAAGACCATTAGTGAGTCCATCACAAATTTGGCTATTACTAAAAAGTTCAACTAATCTTTCATTTTTTTAATTAATATTAATTTAATAAGTTAATTTATTTTTATATTTGAATCGACATATGTTGAAAAATTTGATTATAAGATTTTTTTCACATCCTTAGTCTGTATTTATGAATGTGTGTATATTGTGTATTTATATAGTCAAGTGCATATAATATACTACTTAAGAGGTCAAGTGTGTGTTGTTTTCGCACAACAATTACAATATAACATTTTTAATTTAATTTCTAACCAAAATCACTCCTTACTTTAATAGAAATTTTTATAACGTCTATATTCATTATGGGCGATGACATTAATATAGATAGTGAAATTCAAACACAAACACAGACACAAAATTCTCAAGTAGAATGGAGCCAAAATACCCCATCATTTATTCCAAATATCTGGGGCAGATTATATCCCACAAGACCGTCATTGAATGGACAAAATTGCTGGAAAAACAAACCACCAGGATACTATGGTAATAAATTATTCCAACAGATCTTTAAAACTTAACCGTCTATATAAAAGCTAATAACGTATATTTCTGTTGTCATAAACTGTCCTCTGTTTTTACCACTCATATCAAGAGTATTTTTTTATGAATTTATGTCCTCGTCTGTGTTTACGCTATTCGCCGGCCGGACACCAGCTGGAGTATGATAAAATAAGCATAAAGGACGACCTATACTCTACAACGCGATACGAACTCGGCAATGCGACCTCTAATTTTCTTTACAAACAATACCCGTCCCCCCAACCACCTACTATACTTTAATAAGTTGGATTTTTCTGAATTTATTCTTAGTTTCATAATTTCAGATCTCATTCAGGCAGAATTTAGTTTGGGAAGATCTTTTTCCTGTACTTATGTGATTAGAAAGGAAATGGTCAATGAAAACATAATTAAAAATATTAGCAAACAACATTTTATTCTGAAGAGAGACTTATCGTATGTATACAGACAAAAATAATTATAATTATCAGTTCATTTAATTAAAGTATTTATTGAATAATACTTGATTGAACTGTTATTTCATTACAGGGAACCTCTCTGTCCGGCGATTATTACAGATTTATCCCATAATGGTACATTTGTAAATGGAATCTTAGTTGGCAAAGGTAACAGCCGTATTCTTGATGACAATGATGTCATTTCAGTTTCCCACCAATCTATGAAAAGTAAGGCCACTATACAAAACTATTATTTACAGCAATTACACTCTCACCTAGTCTATGTTTTATTGCTATTGTCATGCATTTTGTTATTTATTTATGTTTTATTTTATAACTCATTGTTATTATGTTATAATTTTTATAAGGGAATTGACAATATGTTATACCAGAATGAAACCTTTCTTTTCAGTTTTTGTATTTAAAGATTTATTTAAAAATGAACAAGACCAAGTACCTCGGGAAATCTCTAAAAAATATTATATATCTAGGTTGTTAGGCCAAGGTGCTTGTGGTATTGTCAAATTAGTTTATGATAAGGTAAATATTATTTTAAGCATTTTATTTTTTTATGTCTTAATTTGAATCACTATACCTTCTGTATCTAGTTTAGTAGTGTCTGTTCAAATATTTGTGTTCTTGTCAAAAATAATTATTTTGGGTATCATGCAGTAGTCATTAAACAATATTATTTATTCTACTAATATTGCATAGGGAACAATTTTAGCATTTCAGTTATTTGCTTAATTTGAAGACTAGTTAAGTGTTAAGTAAACAGTTACACAACAAAATTTATGTGTGTTATTCCATATAGTAAAACTGTACATTAAACACAATTTCAGTCTGTCTGTCATTCTAGTACCTATACCATATAATAAAGGATCTGGTTAGGTCTCTTTGTGATAATTATGTTGAAATCTATTTATTATTAAGACTATAGTAAAAATTACATATATATTTCTTGTGTTACACCTTTCTATATGCTTAATGTTGTAAACTAAACAAATGTTAATCTCGGCTTTGTACTATTGATTTGTTATGTATAAATTTATTTTCAGATAAAATGCACTAAGTATGCTATGAAAATAATTAAGAAAAGTCGACTGACTAATGGACAATTTAACAATCTTAATGACCCAAAGAAAATTATGAATGAGATTAATATCATGAAAGCACTTAAACATGTGAGTTTTAACAACTAACATTACAAAACAAATAATTCCAACTTCACAACTTTTGTTATTCTTTACTATATAAGTCATGCATGAGACTTAAATGAAGTTATGACTGACTGTTGTTTTTTAATATATCCAGCCATATTATGTTAGTAAACAACTTATAAACTATGTTAGTAAATTACAATATAGTAATTTCAATTCATATATATAAATATATGAATTGAAATAACAAGAACATATATCCACATTTGGTTACGCTGGGTCCACAGCGATACAATGATGTCCAGTGCCTCGGAGAGGACAATCCAACATAATTGCTACAGTGCTTGGAAGCCTGTTTGCGCTCCCCCTAATTCTACACATCAGTGATACACTTATTTGGAGCTATATATAAGATAATAAATTTAAAATCTGATTTTCCTTTATTTATAATTTGTCAAATGTTAACACTGCTATAAACATTCTTTATTTTTAAGCCTTGTGTGATTTCAACTGAGGAAGTGATGGACACCCGTGACACAGTATACATCATCCTAGAATTAATGCAAGGAGGAGAACTTTTCGACAGAATTTCAAAGCAACATCGTCTAACTGAACAACTTACTCGATTCCTATTCAGACAAATGGTGCTAGCTGTCAAATATCTACACTCTCAAGGCATCACTCACAGAGACCTCAAGGTATTTGTATAAATAGAGTAATAACTACTGATAAGGCTGAAATTCCTCTTATACTTTGTCTGTATATGTATGTATGAAACAGAAATTTAAGTATTTATTCTACATATAAAATCCCATGTCTAAACAAGGGGTAAGAGAAAATGTAAGGAAGAGCCCGAACAAGTATGTACCTGGATATCTTAAACACTGTTTTGTTGTATTTTAACTATAGTTGCCATTTTTATAAATGGCAAGTAAAGTTGCACCTTCATGTAGATACCTTGTCATTGTCGAAAAATCATTCTGATGTCATACAATTTTTGTAGTAAAACATTTATACACTATAGAAAATGTAAAGAACTATACTGAAACAATAATAAAATATAGTATTGTAAAATTAAAGAATTTTCTTATATAATGAAATCCATTCAATTCACACACCTGAGAATGTATTACTGGAGAGAGTAAAGATGAAAGGACTCTAGTCAAAATAACTGACTTTGGAATGAGCAAGTTTGTTGGTGAGGATAGCTTCATGAAGACAATGTGTGGAACGCCACTCTACTTAGCACCTGAAGTTCTTATGGCAAATGGACAAAGATGCTATGGTCCCCAAGTTGATGTATGGAGCTTGGGAGTAATACTCTTTGTATGGTATGTTGGTGTTAGAAAATATCTAATAAACCTTCAGGCCCAGTCTATGTGAATATCGGAGACAACAAAATCCTAAAGACTGATTGTCTGTTTTCAATTATATGGATCTTACCTTATCAGACGCATGAATAATCCAGATTAAACGCAGAAATTGCCTAATTAGTAATGTGGGATAGGAACAAGTTTAAAATTTCTAAATGAACAATTTCACTTTAGAAAGCATGCTCAACACCAATTCAGTGTATAAAATAGACCTTTCCTTTATCCCAAATGCTACCAAATTTCAATTGCCAAATATTACGATTTTTGGTTGGACACAAGAAAATTCAAATCTCTATTTGTAACAGAAACAATAACAACAAACCAAATTATTCTCCGAGTACAGTATGTTCACCTCTACTTCTATACAGATGGGTAGAAGTAGAGTGGTAATCCTAGAGTAGTAAGTGGCAGTACCAGTAAGGGTAGATACCCTATTGCCTCAAGGAGTACTACTGTCAATATTTATCTGTTTACAATTTATAAATAAATTAATACTTATCATTATATCAAACTCAGTTAAGCAAATATTATACACAGAAGCTTTTTTTCAGTGTTACTGGCTATTTGCCATTTTCAACAGAACACAGATTCACGACACTGAAAGATCAAATTGTTAAAGGACAATACTGTACGTCACTATCGCAATGGAGAAAAATTAGTGTACAAGGCAAACACCTCATAGGAAGAATGCTGACTGTGCAACCCGAGAGACGTATAACACTTGACGAAATATTAAATCATCCTTGGATGCAGGTACTAGATGTTTACAAAAATATGTAATTACGAACCGTTTAACTTCTTAGCGCTCTTCCCATAAATATTTGTGCTTTGTCACTTTGTTTTTTTATTCTTTTTTATTTTACAATTGATAAAAGATTCAGGATACATCACATAGCGCCGTCTAGACACAAACTAAGCAAATCATGTATTGTGGGTATGAAACAACTCATAAATATTTAAACACAAAAAACAACTACACGTAAACAATCATACTATGATTATAAATGTTTGTATCGGACGAGAATTGAACCTGCAAACATCGGAAGTAAAGCGGCCGGTATGGTAAATACTTACACCACCAAGCACTTTATATAATAATATAGTAATAAGCACTATAAACCAATTATTGGCGATCACCCTAACAAGAAACATTGTCCATTTTAGGATGAAGATGTTATAATTAGTGTTAATAAGTTGCTCTCGAACACTACACAAATGAAGCTTTAGTGAGTTAACAATATCATCGACATCGACATCTGTTTTGGATCAAGAGAATAGCAATTCTGATGGCGTGACTGTGAAATTGGCAGCTACTGGCAAACGAGCGTTAAGTGACAGCTCTAATTCTTCTGAACCAAACCCAAAGAAACTCAAACTAGCAATTGAAGAAAGAAACAATAATGACAGTAGTTCCACTAACAGTTACTGTTCTGGGGAATAATGGCTATATTAGCTAATTTGTGACCTTATGAAAATTTGCTTTTATGTTAGCAATTATGGAAATGTTAAATATATGTTGTTATGTAATGTTATTCCTAAAGGGTATAAAAAAATTCGGAAGTCAGGTAACTCAGGTAGAATACTATAAAACTGATCTACTTTCACAAAGAATCGAAGTTAAAACTGAAGTAAAATTTTTAACTTTCATATTAAATTATTCACATAACCATACAACAGTTTGTAGGAAGGTTTTTAAAATTTATTTTCCATTTACTACATAGTGTTTTCGTGAAAACTAACACTGGCTTTCAGATTGGTAAGGGTACCTCCTTTACAAATAACCGTATATTAAAAACGTGTGGCCATTTTATGATTGTGATGATAAGTTGTTACTTTTTTCGTAATTGTTGATTATTTTGTTAATTTAACCTAAGTCATAAATAAGTTTTTGACTATATACCAGTGTGTTGTCATCCGTATGCGCTAACCTTTGTTACTTTTGACAAGTACTTAAAATACAGTATACCATTTTAAAAATATATATATGTACAAAATATTACCCCATAACAAAAATATCTCGAACCACGAACGAACATCGAACTAACAAACAGATGCACATGAACAACGTTCACATTCTCAAACGGGTTATTAATAATAATGCTTTAATGTTATTTTAGTTTTTAAATGTTATTGTAATTATAAAAAGTAACGTGCTGAAGTATTCCAGCAACTCATATGGGTTGCTGGAATACCGCATATATGTGCATATATATACAACATGCTGAAGTATTGCTTATTTTATAAATGTATGTTGCGAATTTAACATGTTTCTTATTATTATTAAAAACTAAGTACTTAATTATTTGTGCTGTGTATGAACAACACTATGAAGATTCTCAATTCCGCCTTTATTTTGTTCATCGTGTCATTATCAATTCAATTCTATTTCTCATTTCTTGGTTTATAATAAAAGAATAAATGCCATATTTTATAATAAAATGTATTTCATTTCAATTCCTCCATACACATAGTATTTACAATACACAAATGTAAATTTTGGGAGCAACCCACAAAGCAAGTAAGGAATTCAGTCTTGATATTTTTATCATAACAATACATTTACTACAGTTTAACATAAAATAATGTATTAAGTTATAATAAAGAAACAATATAGAGAACTAAAATATTAAATAAATAATATAAATAAGAAGGGATTGCTTTGAAAATTATATAAATCTGTAACATTTAAGAAGTCTAAAAAATTATTTGTGTGATTTCTGAAACTATTTATAAATTAGTTATATCTATTCTAAAAAAATATGTACAGAAACTTAAAACAATAATAAAAACCAATGCTGGATTCTATTTAATTCAAATTAAAATAATTATTGTTTTCTATCCATTATTATTTATATCTGCATGCCTATTACAACAATATTCATCAAGATAATTTTAATATCTGCTTACAGTATTACTGCTTGCATTTAGGAACTTGTACAATATATTAGCTACCAGTAGCTATAATTATTGTTAAACGGTATGAATACTTACTAATAGAAAATATATATTCAAATTAAAATATAATCACAATGACATAAAAAAAAATATTCAGAAGATACAAAACATTCAGTATTTAAAAAATAATATAATGTAAACAAATGATTAATGAAAATAATGAAATTAATTGAATTATAATAACTACAGTTTGTGTACTTTATCAGTTGGGCCACGAAAGTATCACAAGACGTACTATATGCCGTTTTCATATTATACATATATTCCTTGATACATCGTTAAATACAATATTGGCCACTGTTCGTTTATTATAGGTAGGCACATTTCTTTCTCAGGTAACAATCATGTGTGATGCCTAGTATCTATATTCTTACATACAATTTAAATACAAACTACACCCAATCATCTTTTTTATAACCCTCTCTTGTTTCTTAACCTATGCATTTAAGTCAGTCTTTCTTTGTCATGCCACAATCAAATTACTATAAATTTCTTAATTCAGAATATTGTAATACAGACTACCACAAAATTTTTGCAGGCTAATCTAGATGAGGTGTGTTTTTAATCTACTTAACATTATTCAACTAAAACAATAAATCAGACCTGCGCTTGAAATGTCATGACTGTCTGATATGCAAATTAATTCAGTTATTTGACCGCAGCATAATATGCATATAAGTTAAATATACTCACAACTCCCTTACATTTAAGGAGATTTAAAATTGATGGAATTCCAAATTATTCTAGCCTACCTACAACTATTCACCACTTACATTCTCTTCTTCAGCCCTACTGTGCGATGGTTCTGTACTTGGATGCTCAGCAATTTCTGTAAAATATATATTTTTTTATAATTAAACAATGGCGTAAACTAAAAATATTTCTATTTGATCCCCTAAATAGTAATTGACAACCTTACCGATATTCCGTAATAAGCTTAATTTATGAGCTGCACACTCACCTAAATAACTCTACTTCTAAATTACTTTTAATGAAGTAACTGAAACAAGATAATTTGACAATCACAGAATGGTCAAATCTGTTAATTATATTTATATAATAAAGAAGTATTCCAAGTTTGTAGCCTGAGTATTTAAAGTATTTAAAACATCTTTGTTACAATTATCTATAATAAAAAAATATAGTACTTAGCAATGCAGTTTTAGTAAATTCAACCAATATACTCAATATTATGCAGACAAAAAAATTCTGTTCTTACCAGCAATTGCTCTGTCTACAGTTTGTTTATCCTTAACAATGTAGACGGCCGTTAGAAGGAAGAATATGCCTCCTAGGACTTCTACGAAGCAGGTCACAAACAAAGCATATTGCAGTGCCTGGAATTGCACAATCTGAGAAGGCATTTCTGACGGGGACGGAGACAAAGATCTCTTGAGACTTTCTGATATCTAAAACAGAATAAATCACATTTCTTCATTGTTGTAGAACTTGTGCATGAACTTTACTTCTGGTGTCATATTATTTTTAATAATATATTCTGTAGGTTAATTATTAATAAATAATTGGATAGTAGTACCAATGTAACTTTATAATGTTATAAGGACAGGTAACGCGCGAGCGATGGCCCCTGATGCTGTCAGAGGTGGGCCATTTTTGCTTCATTACCACTCTCGTTTTTTAAAACTAATTATTAGGTACTTTAAGCAGGAAGCCTGGTAGACAAGACAGTCTAGTAATTGGTATTATTTATAAGACGACTTGAATACGATTAAATGTACTCACCACTCCAACCAAGTAAGGACTACCAGCATCACCGAACATGTGTGATATGAGAATCTGGAACGCCTCCGCAGTAGAGCGTCGAGGCGGGATAACAACATACTGAAATACCAATAAATGCAGACTTAGGCACCACATATTACGATACGTTAGTTACTAATAATACCACTAATTTAACTAGATTCTACAATATAGATACTAAAATAAAATGCTGTATGCCCCAGGTAGGTGTCAATCAATGCTGTGTAAAAATTATATTATATACCTTTTTTTTAATTTTTAACCAAAGGTCTTAGGAAATGACAATTTTAGCAATGTTTAGAAAGTGAATAGTTATCACCTAATAGCGTTTCAAACAAACATTCAGTACAAAATGAGCAAGCATTTATAATTAACACCAAAAGATTATTCTAGCTATTTATTCACTTCATGACTTGCATTTTTATTTCTAATATCAGTTCATACATTATGATGTATGAACTGATATTAGAAATAAAAATTTGAATAAAAGTAATATATCGAAATCTTATCTTCGAGTATACTTGAGTTTACTGTTATATTATCATCATAATTTGGTATCAACCTTCTAATTCTCATTATAAACATACTTTCAAATTATGTTATTTACGCCATCTAGTGAAATAATGAGGTATTTAAATATCATGATAAAACAATTGCAAGTAAGTATTTAGAATACATGCTAATAGATGTCGCTGTTTCAAGATTTGAAATCAGGTCAATGGCGTCGAATGTCTTACAAGAAAAATATACAAGTATTAAATTACCAAATTCCAATGAGATAGTTTATTATACTTTCGAGAAACAATGTTTACAACCAGACAATACTGAACAATGATAATAGTCTAGGTAATGAGTGACTGATTTCAAATCTACATCTCTATTATATACACAGCAATACAAGCCCAATATAAATACATACAGTATAGGAAAAATAATAAAAAATAAAATCATGCACCACATGCCAAAACAACTATAAATAATAAAAAAAATCCATTTTCCCACTTCTAGTTGCGATTAGCCTTTGAAAAAAGCTAACAGTCGACCAGAAGCAAGACCGCGGAACACATTTCTTACCAGTGACATATCGGCCACTATTGCCCAGTTGAGATTCAAAGCGACTTGGCCTATGAAGATGAGGACGAAGGGCGTGTAGAAATAGGCCTCGGTGAGGAGCATGCCGAGACCGATGGCGGGCGCGGACAGCAGCAGGCCAGCGCCGCAGACGAGGGGGTGTGCGCGCGGGAACCGCTTCTGAAGGGTCGCGCCCAGCCACGTGCCCAGCGGCACGCCCGTCACCCCCGACATCATCGTCACCACGCCGAAGATTAGCGACAACCTTCGTGCAACAATCGCCTCGTCAGTCTCGCCACATCGTACATGCATACATTTATGCGTTTAGTTTCTTTCCGTTCGACAGGCGAATGCGTCCTGCGTAGCCTTTCGCATGCTCTCTTTATATATATAGTTTTTTATATTATAAAGTGAATAAAGTGAAATAAAATAAAAATCGTATGTCGATAGCGTAAGCGGCATTCTCTAAAATATATTAGCGGCATAATGGGATGATTCTGCGGCCTATGGTATTGACGATTAATGTGACTCGAAAGTTTACATGTCTATCTCATCGGAATATATTTCTTGCGACGATTCGAGCCGGTGACCGATTTCTGTTCGTGAATGTAATGCTCGCACTAGTAATCCGCAACACTTCTTGCACTTCAGTTTTAATCATTTACTTCTAGCATGCGTAAATAAAAATCCATTTACTACATATATTTGTGAGCAGCCCTGTCGCGTTATCACACATGCGAGCATAACCAGACAGAGAGCGCTCACCAGAACGATATCGGCGACGATGGACCACGTGAGATTGAGCGTGACCATCCCGGCGAATATCAGTACGTAGGTGAGCGCTACGTGCGCCGAGATAGTGATGAGGCCGAAGTAGACGAGCGGCGCGGACGCGAGCAGCGCGAACCCGCAGATGAGCGGGTCGCAGTCGAGCAGGCGCGGCCGCAGCCGCTGCGCGAGCGCGGAGCCCAGCGGCACGCCCATCGCGCCCGCCGACATACCCACCAGCCCGAACTTGTACGATACGCTGTTCCATTGCAAATTTCATACAATACTACTTGTACTCTGCTTTTATTGTGTTCGTATTGTGCCCTATGTCGAGTCTCAGTCTCTCGCATTCCTAACTGGATAGACTAGTAGGCGATCGATCGATGAACTCTGGTTAAAGATCCTAATTTATTACATGTTATCTAGACAATGTGTAATAAATATGTGACAAAGTGCAGTTATTATCGTTTATGGAAATACTCAGACAGTCATGGATACTTATATTTTATCAATACTTTTATTGGTTATATAAATATACAAAGATCAATGTAATACCAATACTACCGAGGTATAGTATTATACTGGAGACGAAAACCACGTAAAAAACTGGCATAGATTCAATTGAATTATAACTGTATATTTTTATGAACACACATACATACATGCTCAATAAATACATTCTTACTTATTATTTAATGGACATAAATCTGAGGAGTACCGATTTGTTTTTTGCTACCAATGAAATCTAACTCACCTCTCTATAGTGATATCGACGTCGGGTTGCAAGGTGAGCCCTAGATATATGAATTGGGGTCCCCACCACGCGAGGGCGCCTGTTACGAACGCTACGCATGTGAACGCGAGCGTCGAAAGCATGAAAGACCGACTGTAAAGAAAACATATTTAATAAGTCTTAAGAGATTATTGTTTTCAAAGTTTAATGACGAATCATATGATTTACTCATGAACGGGTGCTGCTTGTAGGAAATGGTCGGGTAGTGATCGCACTACGTCTGATTTATTTTGTTACTAAACGGGTGTTATACATTTAACATTTTGACTTATATATTCATGCTGTTTGATAGTTCGTATAATAGAAATTTCGACTTAACAATGTAAAGTTAAAACGTCAATAGGCATGTTTCTTGCTCATTGTAATTGATTAAACTGTATTCCGAATAAATAGTATATTATAAAATTGAGTTTTCAATAGCGTTTAAAATTAAGTCTTTTTGAATAAAAGATTATTTTTCAACTATTCCACTCTAAAGTAGTTAATACGTATTATCGTAAGGCATCGTCAACTACAAAAACAATCTTGCCATCATATTTTTCTGTTTACATATTCATATTACACAACATACAAAAACAACACAAACAATACTGACATTGTTATTTTATGATATGACGTTAAATTTCATTATATAATTTTTAACGATACGCAATATGTATACCTAATGTACGTTTGACTCCTAAATACTCCCAATACACTTTAGACTTTAGTTTGTCACGGACTACTTTACATTGTCTGTGCCAAACTCCGCAGATCTAATCTGGAAACTAATTCAAAGATTCAGGTTGATATTGGATTGCGCCATTCCACTGAAAACGTACTAATTCCATATGCCATGTTTAATGAAACAACTAAGTGACATTGTTATCCATTATTTTAATTTCAAAAGTACAGACACACACATTAGGCTGGATTGAAATCAAAATTGAGATTAGACTCAAGAGTAGACCAAATCATTTCACTATCAACTGTGTCTTAATTGAAAACAATTTTTATGTAAAATTTATTTTAACATATGTTTAAATTAAGCAGCAATTGGCTTTTAAAGTTATAATTCCATTTTTTTATTCATGTAATGTATAATTAAGTATATTATTATTATATTTTTTGTAAATGAATGAATAACTCATTATTATATTAATTTAAGAAACTTACTTTTTGACAAGCGCTCGTATATCATCTCTGTAGGAAGTCGGTCTTATTTGACTGTCTTCAGCTTGGCCACGTTCGGGATCTATCATTACCCATAAGATAAGTGCCACTGCCACAACACCCATAAATGGAGTCACACGTAAACCCCATCGCCAATTGCCGGCCGCGGCCCCCGCCAATGAGCCCACAATATATCCCATACCACTGAAAAAGATTAACCAGAATCAGGGATGCCAAACATAGGATGTTTTTGGTTTTCAGTAGAACATTATCACCCTTCGTATCAAGCGTCGTATTTAGCCATTCAGAAATCGGTGATATGATAATGTTAAAGAGCTACGAGATTTTTGATTTCTTCATACGAGAACAAATGTTTTAAGATTTACAACCATGACCAGTACTGACATTAGAAATGAACAAGACCAATAGTTATTGACACATTTCTCAAACTTCTATATATATATTTAAAGTGTATTAAATGAAATATGTATGTTACCTGCCAACCGGGATGGCGAAGTAGAAAAGTGCTAGCATCTTGGAACGTATGTTGCCGACAAATAAGTCACTTATGATGGTGGGTGCTATAGTCGAGTATGACGCCTCACCGATGCCGACTAGGCCCCGGAAGAAAGCAAATAACTTGAAGTTCTGAAAATTTATTATAATATTATTAAAGCTTTTTTTAATAATCTTGGGATATTCTAACAAGGTAAACCATATTTGTATTAGGAGTCAAGTATTACAGCATAATATGTATTATGTATAATATGAATTATGAACCATGACAAAGAACAGATTACGGCATAATATGTATAATGTATGTGTATTATAATTTATCACCATACAAAGACTCAATAAAGAATAGCTCTACAGGTATGAATTCAATGACTCGTCGAAAATTTATTGTTTACTATTTGTGTTTGGAGTTGGTTCATTTTTGTTGAAAACAATATTCTTATATGATAATTTATACATACTACCGCTTAAATTTGAGCAATGCTTTGCGCTGCAAAAATGTGTAAGCAAGTGAAACAATTATTCGAATTGCTTCAATGATTGTATACTGCTCAATAAATTTGGTTCATAGTGAATAAGAAAATATAATGTTAGATGTTATAATTATGCATACATTCAAGAGGAAAAACATCAAATATCCTTACTATTGTTATATGGATTTTATGGTTTACCCCCTACGCAATCAAATATACGTTATAGTATTATTATATTATGTTTATTAATAGAATAAGAATGTATTTAGGTATGCTAATGTTTTGATATATACTTATATTTACCTCTTATTAACGTAGTACTTACAGATATACTAAAATATAACTAATAGGCCATATTTATATTTTTTGATTAGAGTCACAAATGACAAGATATATTAACTGTATTGTAATTGTGTACTATTTATTTATAAATTTGACAGCCTCGGTGGTCTAGCAGTTGAGCACACCGCTTTACTTCCGATGGTCGCGGGATCGATTCCACACACGGTGCAAACAATAGTATTCATGAGTATGATTGTTAGTACCGGTCTGGGTGTTTTCTATGTATATTATGTATGTATTAACAAAAAATATATCTAAGTATTTATAACAGTTGTCTAGTACCCATAACACAAGCTCTGCTTACCGTGTGACTAGATAGCGCTGTGTCAATTGTCCAGGGTTATTTATTTATTTATAATTTATTTTAAAGTTAAAATTTTAAATAAATTACTAATTTAAAAATATGTTTTAATAAATAGATTTTCTATATAACGGAATCACAAATACTGTAAACATTAATAAATAAAATATTAGCAAATACTAACAGTAACGAAGGATCCGATAAATGTGGTGATGCACCAGAGTCCGACCCCAAACGCCATGATGGCGCGTCTCGATTGCCTATCCCCGAGGTAACCGAATATTGGCGCGAACACCATGTACGCCACCACAAAAACAGTCTGAAGGAGTCCGGCACTGTCATCGCCGATGCCAAATTCTTTTTTAACGTCACCCAGCACACCTGAAAATTATAAGAAATCATTCATATAGATTCAGCCAAGACAGTTGTGATTTAGTGTTGCCAATGTATTTTTTTGTTTGGTGTCAATTATATATAAAGTGCATATGAAATTGTAATAATAATATGTTATTTGTATAAACGTGTTTTTGTAAACGAAAAATTTAATAGTAGGTATTATTATTGATATTAGAATAACATTATTAATAGTAATAACTAATTAGCAACTTGGCTATGATTGTTGTCTTTTGAAACAATAGAAATGTTATTTTTTATTTATAAATTATAACTTACAAAGATTTTTTTATACTTCATTTATGGTTATATTTTTATACGGTGTTTTATATATTAAAATGTTCCATACATTCTGTTTAGTCTGCACTGTTAGAAAATTACTTGGTTCGATACTTAGATATTATAATCTTGTGTGCCTGAGCTCTAAGCTAATATGAATTGTAAAACGTCTTAGTTTAGTGCTTGTTAGGTAAAACAAACGAACAACGCCGTGTAAAAAATGGCCTTGGGAATGTGAATGTCCGCACATTTGCCAAGTAGGTACAAGATTACTTCAACCAGTTTACTATGTCCGGAGCTTTTCACTGTATCACATCATCATGCAATAAGATGCTACAAGTAGGTACTGACCATAATTCTACGTTCTAAATAAAGGACACACTGGCAAATAGTTATACTAAAAAAGACGTGCGTTCTTATTTTAATACTCTTCAAATAAGTAAAAAAATGTAGACGATGTTAACACGGAGAATTTTTTGTTAGTTAACGTAATGTTAGTCATTATTAAGTTTTTAATAACGCATGACTAACAAAAATAAAGAATAAATTTTATTTGAGAATATCTAAATCTAAAAATAGAACTAGTTAGCCTCATATGCTAATTACTAATTTGAGCCGGTGCCAAATAAGTCATAGGTAGGTGTGTATCTAAACTAAAGTAATAATGCAAAAAGTTGAACTAAAGAGGTACACTTTTGAATAAATAACAGATGAAAATTCGAAAACTATTATTTCAAATAGTAGTTTCTAAATATAGCGCTATATCTAAATCGCACCATAAGAGTTTTAGGTCGGTGTACCCTAAAATGTTACTACGAAAATATCGATAAGAAAATATTTGCCAAAGCAATGTGAGCAAAGGTGCGGTTTGCAAATATCACACCTTGCCGTCATACGATAAAAAGTAAAAAAATATTCCAATATAAAAATATGGCTATTAAGTATACTTATACTTAATTACAAAACTTTATTGCTAATTATTATCGGAATTAGGTCATTTGTTTATTATTATAGATAACCATACTACACGGACGTGTAAACATACTTGTACCTGTTGATTTTTTTTGTATCCGGTATGTATTATATTGGAGTGCAAGCCAACCTAAAATAACCTATATATAATAATAATAATCTTAGGACAATTCACACATCGCCATCTAGAGTAGAGCCAAGTTAAGCTAGCTAAAGCTTGTGTTATGGGTACTAAATAACTGATACAAATAGAAATATATATTTATTTATCGTAAATATATACATATTAAACATGGAAAACACCCAGACCAACACAAATAAACATACTCATGAATACAAAATGTTTGTGTCATGCGAGGAATCGAACCCGCGACCATCGGAAGTAAGGCTATGTGCTAAATCGCAAGACAACCCAGGCCGTCAAAAATATATAATATATTTTTATAATACGAGTATCTTTAAGGACATTAAATGACAAGCCACTACGTTTATTATGCCTATTACCAACTACTTTATTTTGCACAAGTCTTACGACGCCTTTATTTAATTTCTATATAATACTTACTCTTTTACTTAAAATAGCTACATAGGTATAATTTCACAGTCATAAATACACTACAATCTATTCAGTTAATGAATTTCTTTATTCATTCATCAACGTTCAGTCAAAGTAGTACTCTAATATTGTGCAATTCTGTTATCGAGCTCGTCTACTATTAGTGCTTTCCAAATCACGTGCGAACCTATCCAATAACATGTAAGTATGTAATAACAATAATATTAGATACCTATCAATTTATATATCGTTATAAAGGTACAGTAATTATATATAATAAAAAGTATTATTGCTTATTAATAAGACTCAACAGAAAGTATAAGCACGTTATCTCACATATTCAAATACAACAGTTTTTTAACAAATTCATTTCATAAAATGCTTTAAAAATAGTTAACCATCTCATCTAAAAATAACATTATATTGAAAACGTTCCCTACTCATAAAGCCCCATGTCCTATCAATTTGACACCTCTATAAATCATATCTTTTATTACTCAGTCCCCATTGTTTGCTTCTCTGTTATTTGTTGAATCCCCAGCTTGCATTCAATCTATGTTTAAGTGCTTTTATTATTTTTTTTATATGAATAAATAGAATGTATCCATTTTATACCTATACACATATTGTAGAATAGCCGTTGTATAAATAGAAAATGTTTTTACTAATAAAAAAAACGTTGAAACTGTTTTAATATTTCTTATAGCGATCCTATATAGATTTTTCTTTAATTATACTTATTATTTATTTATGTTGTTACCAAAGTAAGGGATTACCGTCAAGTGACATAATGATAGTAATAATATTTTTATTTATAAATATACAATGTAGGGTTCAAACTTCACAGTCGACAAACGAATTGATTTTTTTTAAAAACACAACAAATTCTACGTATGTGTATTGAGTACATATATACATAGTTGCATCACAATTTCATTGAATGTATTCTGCACCGTCATAAACATTAAATAACCTCTTATTTACAATTTTGTCGTACGCAGGTAAACTTATGTCTCATCCGAAAATTATATAACAATACTTCGTAGTAGCGTACCTATAACGATATATTCTATGTCCTATCCGCAGAGACAATACATGGTATTGATAATTACTTGAACCTTGTCTTTTGTATTATCATTACCCTAATCCCAATTACAGATTTTTTGCTATTATTATAAAATCTATAATAATAATAATAACAATAAAACTCTTTATTGTGTACACATAAAATAATGAGAAAAAACAGTAAATAGTAAAAAATAACAAAAGGCGGTCTTATCGCTAAATGCAATCTCTTACTGACAACCTAGAAGAGAGGACTTATGTACATAGAATAGGGTAGGTGGCACACATAAGACACTATTTATTATACTACTAGATATACATACTTACATTAGGGATAAATATATAAACCTACATATATACATACATATATACTACATATTGGAAGAAATGAGAAAAATAAAATAAAATAAAAAAATGTACTATGAAGAGAGATAATGAGATCTTAGTCTATTTTTAAATGATGCATGTGTTTGAGCTGATCGAATGGAGAGTGGTAGAGAGTTCCAGAGGCGAATGGCTTGGACAGTGAAGGAGTTGGAATAATATGTGGAGGAGTGAGCAGGGATCGTCAAACATAGGCTTCTGGTACTACGCAAAGCAGAACCGGGGGATTTAATATGAAATTGGAACTTGGTTTTTAGATATTCAGGGGTGGAGGGGTGGAAAAGAATAGAGTAAAGGAGGGATAAAATATGAAAATTCCTGCGAAGACGAATGGGAAGCCACTTGAGTTGACTGCGAAAATTGGAAATGTGGTCATACTTACGGAGACCAAAAATGAATCGTATGCACATATTTTGGAGTCGCTCAAGTTTATTTAATTGCTCTTCAGTGAGATTTACATAGCAGGAATCCGCATAATCTAGGATTGGAAGTAATAGGGTATGTGCGAGCGCAGTCTTGGTGTCAACTGGCAGGAAGTACCGTAACCTATTAATGCTTCCGATAGCACCAAACATTTTCCGACTCAGCTGTGATATTTGATGCGACCAGGACAAGGTTTCGTCAAAATGAATCCCAAGATTTTTTATCTGAACGCAGTATTCTATGTCGTGACCATTAAAGGAGACTGGTGGAAGACTATTCAAGTCTAATTTAGATAAATAATATGGACTTCCGATAATCATGCACTGTGTTTTTTTTGGATTCAGTAAAAGGCCATAAGCTTTACTCCAGTCAGAGATATATGCGAGGTCAAGATTTATATCGCGAACAGCATCGGTAATATTACACAGAGCAGCATGTGAGTAAATTTGTAGGTCATCTGCATATAGGTGGTAGGATGAACGAAGATGAAGGGTGATAGAATTTATAAATAAAGCGAAAAGAAGAGGAGATAATACGCCACCCTGAGGTACGCCCGCAGTCGTTGTGCACCAGGATGAACTGATATCATCGATACGAATACGCTGCCGACGCCCATACAGGTAAGTTCGAAACCAATCAATCACCGTTGGAGATATGTTAAGAGAACGTAGCAAACTGAGTAAGATGTCGAAATCTACGGTATTGAATGCATTACTAAAATCCAATAGCGTTAGTAGTGTCAGCTGCGATTTATCCATACCAAGTCGAATGTCATCGGTGATCTTGATTAGAGCAGTAGTCGTGCTATGACCGGGGCGGAAACCAGATTGGAGGGGATTTAGAAGATTATTTGTGTAAAGGAAATTGTAAATTTGTTTATGGACAAGCCTTTCTAGGACTTTAGAAAGGAATGGAAGAATGGAAATAGGTCGATAATCTGAAAAACTCAGAGGGTTTTTGGTTTTGGATAGAGGAATTATATGCGCATCTTTCCAGGAAGTCGGGAAGAAGGCTGATGATATGGAATAGTTGAAGATAAAAGTAATGGTCGGTAGGATAATATCAAGGATGGGAACAATCATAGCACGACTGACATTATCATTTCCCATGGCATTCGACGATATAGCAAGTATATTTCTCTTAACATCACAATCGGAAAATTGAGTAAAAGAAAAGGAAGATATATCAGGAGTTGATAAATTGGAAAGAATATTGATTGTGCTTAATTTGTCATTGTTGTCAAAACCAACGGAAGAGCAGAAATGCCTGTTAAGGCTTTCGAAGTCAATATCACATTTAGCGGAATTTT